CGTATTGAGCTAAAGGGAGACAATGTGGAGGATAAATTTCGATTGGAAAGATTTTTAAAAATAGTACCCGGAGGAGGAAGAAAGCCAGTTTATAGCTCGAAATTAACTCATCTTAAAATATCACACTACCGACTTTCTAATAAAAAAATCAAAGGCATTGTGCGCATGTTCCCAAATATAATTCATTTAGATTTCGAAGGAAGTACGGACTGTATTGGTAAAACTCTAAAGCTAATAGCGAAATCATACCCAAATTTGGAGTATCTCGATATATCTACTTTACATGGAAGATTTAAAATAGAAAATGATATAGGTTTATCTGCAATTGCAAACTCATGCCATAATTTAGAATATCTAAATATTTCCAATCGCACAGAGTTTTCCGAACAATCCATTTGTAATGTTATTCGTTCTAGCCCAAGGCTCCAACAACTTGATCTTAGCTATTGTGAAATTACTGATATAACTATCGAAGAAATTGCTAGATCATGTTCCAATTTAAAATATCTTAATCTGAGAGGGTGTTATATAGTGGGATATCCCACTTATATAATTAGCAAAGAAGCCATAGATCAGCTCGTTTCACTTAATCCGAATATCCATGTCGATAATTTTGTGGAAACTCTAACGCCTCCTGATCTCATTGGAGTGGTTATAAATCATCTTACACAGAACAACGTTGCTAGTAGACAAACTCTAGCTCAGGGCCTTCAGAATCTTTTTGATCTAAGTATGCGAGATAATCAGAATTCGGTTCTGTCTCAGATGCGCCGGCGACATAGAGCTGGTGAAAGAATATTAGCCCCAGAATGGTGGTATTCTACCGATCTAACTAATCTGGATCAGTGATTTCGCTCGAAAGAAGAATTTGCTGAGCCACAGCATATACTGTGTGTGACAAAAAATAGGCTGATCACATAACAGGCCTGTGCGACCAAATAATTTTCGCATATACTGAAAAGAAGCTATACATGCTAACCAGTACTTTATTTTTTTATTAAGTATAATTGATCTATTAGCAAAATGTTTGATGAGGATATAGATGCTGAGAAGGAGAAAGCCTTCGATGAATTTACCAAAGAATATGGACAGAGAGAAGAGGATTGGACTATTTATGATGATGATTGGCACGACTGGGATGACCTTTTTTGTGAAATTAAGACCCACTGGAACACAAAAGCGGTCAAGTATTGGAGAGAGAAAATACTTAAGCGATTTGTATATAGTCTACCCAGTGTAAGTAATCCAACGTCATTATTCCATGTACTCTTACAATCCAATGTTATTTATCTCCCACAAA